GGCTGGCATGTCGTGCTGGGAGATTGAACCGCAGTCCCTGTGCTTTGCTAAGCTTGTTCTAAGTAGGTGCTTTAGACCACTGAGCCATCTCACCAGCCCTGTTATACGTATTGTTACATGTCAGTATTTCTATCTTTGTTTCTGTTTTTGTCTGTACTCTCTAAAATAGAATAAAATATAAAAATAAATGTATAAGGCTGGACAGATAGTTCAGCAGATTAAAGCATCTTGCTTAGGCAGATGCCCCTGGCCTGCCATGCTAACCCTACCCCCAGGGCACGCTGCTGAGACTGAGATTGAGACTGGGGTGTAGTGGTACACACCTATAATCCCAGCACTTGGAAGGCTGAAAAACAGAAAGGATCCCTATGAGTCCACTCTTTGTAGTGAGACACTGTACTAAATACATAAAATAAAAATAAATATATAATAAAATAAACAGTTCCTTTTTGCTACATTCTAGGAAATAATTCTGATCTTCATCTTTTCCCAATTTTTAAATAAATCTATCTATTTTTAGCACAGAGTCTTGCTATGCAGCTGGGACTCAGGGATCCTCCTTCCTCCGCCTCCTCAGCACTGGGATTATAGGCATGCGTCACCACATATGGTTTCGATGGAACCCACAGCATGCCCAGGGTTCTAGGTCCAGTACCAGCATTCAGTACTGGGATTAAACCTAAATCCCTGAGTCCTTGTCCTTGCCAGACAGGCCTCTGATCTTTATCTTAAAAAGAAGTCATAAACCACATGGTGTCTCATGCCTGTGATCCCAGCACTGGAGAGGCTGAAGAGTCTGAGCTGTGTAGAGACCCTGTACCAAATAAATAAATGATTAAAAGATAATAATAAAATCACACTGACTTTCTCTTTTGGATAATGCAATACTGTGTGAAATGCTCCTCTCAATTCCACTTTTATATGACTGCATCTTTCAAGGTCAGGTTTTTTTATTTTTTTTATTTTTTTTAAACATTTATTTATGTGTGTGTGTGTGTGTGTGTGTGTGTGTCCAGCTCAGCCCACCAGGGGGCGGGGCTGGCTGGCATTTGGTGCTGGGGGATCAAACCGCGGTCCCTTTGCTTTGCCAAGTTTGTTCCAAGTAGGTGCTTTAGACCACTGAGCCATCTCTCCAGCCCCAAGGTCAGGTTTTAATAATAAATTTATATGTATTTTGACCAAAAAAAATCACCAATGGTCCCAGGTATAACTTACTCATCTCAGTTAAATAGATCTATTCCTCCTGACAGCTGAAAATGGAGGTCAGTGGTACAGTGCTTGTGTAATGCGTATAAGACCCTGGGTTCAATTGCCAGTATTAGAAAAAAAGAATTTCTCTTAAAAATTCTTGTATTTTGGTATTGTTCAGAGATGATCACATGAAAATCAGATAATGCTGGGCGTGGTCACGCATAATCCCAGTAGGATCAAAACTGGAGGCAGCCTAGATTAAAAGTGAGTTCTGGGGGGCCTGCCAGTTAGCTCAGTTCTTTAAGCACCTGCTCATGCAAATGCAGTCAGGCACAAGGTACCAGTGGCTTAATCCCCAGCTCCACATGCCTTACCAGACCTGCCCTTAAGACAGCCTGAGCCAGCCAAAAAATAAAAGTGAGTTCAAAGGTCAGCCTGATCTATATGAGAACCTATCTCAGAAAGAAAGAAAGAGATCAGATCAGATAAACTGCAAAGGAGGGTCACCAGACAAGTCACAGTGGCAATCAGCTCTGGAAGGGAATAAAGGTCATGGATGCAGGCACTCTTATAGCTCTCATTCTGAGTGAAGCTTAGAATGATGTGTGTTCTCTAACTCTGAACTGTATTTTTTATGCACATGCTAAATTTCAAAAAAGGGAGGTCTAAGAATGTTTAGTCTGTGTACATGCTTGTGATTGAACTCAGAGCTTTATGCCTGTCAAACTACATCCCCAGTCCCTTCTCTAAAAAAAGTGTGTTCTTTTTTGCTATATCTACATGTATTAGGCACTGTAATTTGTATTTCAATAGCATGAAAATACTTCTGCTTTTCTCTATTAACTCCTAGGTAAACACACTATGTCCTTCATATTTAAAAACTATGTAACAAAGATTTCCTTAAAGATAAGTGTCCCTTTTTCTTTTTTCTTTTTTTTTCTTTTTTTTTTTTTTTTTTTTTGATGGTACCAGGAATTGAACTCAGGACCTTACGCTTGCCAAGCAAGCACTAATTCCACTGAGCTATCTCCCTATCCCCCAAAACTACATAACAAAGTCAACTCTCAATTTTGTGTGCCCTCTAATTTACACTAATGGCAAACATTTAATATGAAAACTTACTGGGGAAAATGACTATTTTACTTCAATTTCACATTTCAGTCACAAAAATATTTAAATTTTACATTATCAACCTATATTATTGGCAGAAAAAATACAATTACCAGCTTAGCAAAAACCAAGACCAGCCTTGTGCATATGAACAGTATCAATCCAAAATTCTCATGGCACAAAGGGTGAAACACTGGATTTTGCTCACCATTTAAACACTGATAGGGGGCTGGTGAGTTGGCTCAGTGGTCTAAAGCACCTACTTAGAACAAGCTTAGCAAAGCACAGGGACCGCGGTTCAATCCCCCAGCACCACATGCCAGCCAGCCCCGCCCCCTGGTGGGCTGAGCTGGCCACAGACACACACACACACATACACAAATTTAAAAAAAAATTTAAACACTGATAGGTATCAGATATATAGTAAATAGCTATTTGCAATTTCAAAAAACTTAACAGTCAAAAGGCAGGAAAGTACCCAATGCTATTCAGAATATAAATCATCCTAAACAAATTATCACATTAATTATGAGATTTTTTTTTTTCAAAAGATAAAAGGAGGGGGCCCAGCCCTAGCTCAGTTCTTTAAGTGGCTGCTTCCACAATGCTGGCAGCCTCAGTTTGCTGTAGTTCGATCCCCACAACACTCCAGCCATGCAAAAGTGCCCTGAAGGCATTCAAGGAACAAAACACACACACACACACAAAAAAAAAAAAAAAAAAAAAAAAAGATAAAAGGAGAACCCTGAAGGCAGGCTAGAAGAGGGAGGTAAGAGGAAACAGGCAATCAAAAGGAGATGGGAGGGCCAGGGAGATGGCTCAGTAGGATAAGCGCTTGACTTGCAAACGCAAGCATCTGAGTTCAATCCCCGGTTCCGCCAAAAAAAAAAAAAAGGAGATGGGTAGAGAGGCAGAGAAAATAAACCCAAGATAGTAATAAAGAAGGTACACATGGAATCCAGCAGCACAACCACAGGAAGTCCACCGAGGCCCACCCCGAAGATGGATACAGGGTCATACAAGCATTCAAAGACAAGACTGCCATACGATTTCTGAGCTCCGTGGTAAGGATGTGTTTTGCGGCAATCAGCAGCTCCTTTCTGAGGTGTGCAGTCTCTGCTGGACAATTTGTGAGTAACTGTAACATTCCTTTCACCATCTGCTGAGAATACTTGGTCACCAACTCCTGTCAAAAGGATAAAGTTACAGTCACACTGACAAAAAGGTATGCAGAAAAACTCAAATTCTATCAGCTTTTTAAAAATTCAGTTAAGATTAAGCTTGACTAAACCATCTTCATGAGGTTACAGGTCTACTAAACATACAATATTCAAGAAGTTTTAATTGCTATGTGCACATGCACAGCTGCTGCCATAGCGGATGTATGGCAACGTAAGTAGCCCTTCTTTTGCACAATGGGATTATGGATGCTACCTGTACTTTTTCTGTACCTTCCCTAGTGTCAATGATAAACATACATTATTTTCTTATTGGAGGGTTTTGAGGTTTTTTTGCATTTTAGGGAAGGGTCTACAGGGTGTTCAGGGTCTCACTACTATATTGGACTCATAGTGATTCTCCTGTTTACAGCCTCCCAAGTGCTGGGATTACAGGTGCACACCACCATACCCAGTCTCAATCACCCCGGGTTAGGGCCAGCATGGCAGGCCTGGGGATCAAAACCCTGGCCCCTGCTCCTGCTTGCAGGTACTTTAATCCACTGAGCTATTTGCCCCGCCCTATTGGAGGGTTTAAATGTAAATATTCTACTGAGACATCCCATTAATGTTAGTCATGAATGACACCAGATACTACAAAAACAGCTTAGAATAACTCTAATCACAGTCTCCTTTGAAGTATCTCAAGAAAGAAGTTTACCAACAAACTGGGGGCCCACCCATTAGCTCAGGTGTTTAAGTGCCTGCTGAAACAAAGCAGTCAAGACTCAGGATGCTGTGGTTTGATCCCTTCATCCTCAAGCCAAACCAGACATGCCCCTGAAGGCATCCTGAGCCCCATCCCCCACCCAAAAAAAACTCCTTTAAGAGAAATGAAGCTTATTCACTCAACCACCCAGTGGTAGAAAAATCTCAATCCGGTAAAACATGTTCTATTCCTTACTGTAAATTACCATTAATTATAAACACATCACAACAGAAAATAATTTACAACAGCTTTCAAAAGTAGTTTTTAGGGCCAGGGAGATGGCTCAGTGGAATAAGCACTTCCCTGGCAAGCTTGAGTACAATCCCCAGTTCCACTAAAAAGAAAAAAAAATGAACAAAAAAAGTTTTTAATTTATTGATTTTTTTTTCCCCCAAACAAGGTCTCACTATCAGGCTGGCCTTGACCTCACAGTGACCCTCCTGCCTCAGCCTCCCTAGTACTGGCATTACAGGTAGGAGTCACCACTTTAAGGTTGGTACTTTTTACATTCAACAATTTAGAATATGCTTTTACTTTTCCCCAGGTAAATATTTTTTTCTTTTCTTTCTTTTTTTTAAATGTATTTGGTTGTTTACAGGATCTCACTACACAGCTCAGACTCATAGTGATTCTCCTGTTTTCAGCCTTCCTAGCGCTAGGATAACTGGCATGTGCCACTAGGCCCAGGCACTGGCTGGCTCAGCCTGGGGGATCAGCCAGGGATCAAACCAAGGCCCCTGTGCTTGCCTAAGCTCGCCTAAGCAGGCGCTTTAGTCCACTGAGCTATCTTGCCAACCCCCGAGGTAAAAATTCTTATAAAAAATAATGAATTATAATTCCACTGCTATAAAACAGATAAAAACTTAACGTATTCCATACTTTAACTTTATTTATTTATTTATTTATTTTGCGGAACCGGGGATTGAACTCAGGTCCTTGAGCTTGCCAGGCAAGTGCTTATTCCACTGAGCTAGCTCCCCGGCCCTGTTCCATACTTTAAGCACCAAGCTGGGAATGGTAGCACACACCTCTAGTTCTTGAGGGCTGAGGCAGGAGAATCACATGTTTGAGGCCAGCTAGCTACATGTTGAGTTCAAGACCAGCCTGAACTACACATTTAAGACCCTGTCTCAAAAACAACGAAGGACCAACTATACCAGAATTTTGACTAATGGGAGATAAAATCTAATTTTTTTTCCTTCAAGTTCTTATTATTTAAGTAAAAAAGGACCATAACTACACTTAAAGGTGTCTAACTGTTGGACTTGGATGGGCAGAAGCAAGTAAGTGAAAAACTGTTTTGGACCTCACATAGAGTAGTATAGTTAATGTATGTAATGAAACTTCCTTTATATGTATTTTGTATTATAACAAAAAAGGGTGGGGCCAGGGAGATAGCTCAGTAAAATAAACACTTGTCTGGCAAGCTCAAGGGCTGGAGTTCAATCCCTGGTTCCACAAAAAAAAAAAAAAAAAAAAAAAAAAGGGCAAGCAGCCTACAGGCTGCATGTGGACATGCCTCTTATAGATTCCTCAAAAAAAAAAAAAATCTCAAACTACCTTCACAGTTTTATTTTGTAATGTCATTGTTTTGTTTTTTGTTTTTTTTTCTGGAACCAGGGATTGAACTAAGGCCCTTGCACTTGCCAGGGAAGCACTTATTCCACTGAGCCATCTCCCCAGCCCTTGTAATGCCATTTTTAAGTTTAAATCTCCTCCACACCTATTTGCCTCAATATAAAATTTCTAACAACATTAAGTCAACATACCAAATCATGTTCACATGAAAAATTTACATGCAAATGCTTACTTGTAGAGTTTCATCTTAATAGCTAAAAATAAAACAGGCAAACTATCAAGACAAAAGAAATACGTAAGCACTGCCAAGACTGGAGGCTGGAGAAAACTAACAGTGACTCCTAATATGTACAGAGTTTCTTTTGGGGCTGATAAAATTGTTTTAATATTGTACAGTGGTAAGTCATACAGATCAGCGAATAAGCTAAAAATTGGCTCCATTTCGTGACATGTAAATTATACTACAATAAAGCCATTTTTTTAACAACCCAAACATACATCCATCAGTAAATGGCTAATTCCTTCATGATACAGCCAGAAAATAGAACACTATTGCCATGGACTAAACAGTGTCATCCCCACCACCATCAGATTCATATTATTCACATCATAACCACCAATATGACAGATATGGAATTAGGGTCTCTAGGAGGTGAAGTTAAATGATATCGTAATGTGAGGATATAATCCCCCAAAAAGCCATCTCTTCACTACAGAAAGCAAGAAGGTAAAGGGCCGGGGAGATGGCTCAGCAGAAAAAGCACTTCCCTGACAAGTGCAAGGGCCTGAGTTCAATCCTCAGTTCTGCAAAAAAAAAAAAAAAAAGCAAGAAAGAAAGAAAGCAAAAAGGCCACCTTGGGCACGTGAAAATGAGAGTGCTCACTAGAAATCGAACCCTTGCTGGAACCTTACCTAGCTTTTACCATTTCCAGGAAAAAATAAATCTGTGTTGTTTAAACCACCTAATTAATGATATTTTATTAAGTCAGCTCAGCAGACTAAGAGAATAAGCCAGCAATAAAAATGTCATCTTGATAAAATAACAATGATGAATCTCAGCATTACTAAGTGAAAGATGCCAGTATCAACAAATTATATTCATAACATATACTATATATATGACATTTATAGGACACTAGAAAAGGCAACATTGTTGGAACAGAAAACAGACTAGAGTTTGTTAGGAACAGACAGATGAAAGGAAGAAACTGACATAAGAAAGTAAATGTAGAACAGACCCAGAGCGCAGGCCCAGTGAGTGAGTGAGACAACTGAGGGCCACGGGATCCTGAATAGACCCAGAGCACAGGCCTGGTGAGTGAGTGAGACAACCCGGGGCCGGGGATCCTCATTCGACCCAGACTGCATGCCCAGCACGGAACTCTTCAGCAGAACTCCCTGCAAAGAGACTAGAGGCAAGACCCACCCAGCTGATTCAGGAGCAGAACATCTTGCCAGAGTGACACAAAGGGTTCAACTCT